TCAGTGGGAGTGGGTACTCCAGGCATTAGGCCTGAATAGCCCTGATTCTTGACAGGACTGTCTCCAAAGACACATACTAGAACCACCATTGCTCACTTAGAACTGTAATTGTTAAGCCTCTATACATACTGCATGTGCAACCTTTCCCTGTCCTGCCCCAGTAAAATATTCTTTCCCTTAGCCATGTGTCTGAGTGGCTATTGGGACCCACCAGGACCAATGCCTACAAGGCCTAGCTGCTGAAGCGCCTACAGTGCTTTCCTCCATGTCGCAGTACACCTGGCACCTTAGGGGTTTGGTTCATTCCGGCATAGAGCAGTCCACATATTTACATGATACAGAAAGACCAAGTAACTTGCCCAAGGTCTCACAAGAAGTCTATGATGCATCAGGGTATTGAACCCTGATTCCTTAAGTCTTAGACTAGTACCCTAAACACTGGGTCATCTTTCCTCTCACAGAGTGCATGGATTCCCCAACAAGTCATGAATATTTGTCTTAACACTAGAATCTACCTGAGTGATAGCACATATCATTTTTGTCTAGTACACATCTCAGAAAATATACCCTTTCTGTACTGGCTACACCCATGTTTAAACATTGCTGTCATTGGCATGCATCTTATTCCACAGGAGCTTTGAGTCCACAGCTCATGGCTTTTCTTGCCACCACTTGCTACAACTATTTCTACAACTGATTTTATTTAAAGCATAGTTAGTGTATCTTTTTCAGTATAATGAGTTTTTGTGTAGCTCACTGGGTGTTGAAGGCCATTTTTCATCTTTGGCCGGGGGAACAAACAAAATAATGTATCGAGAGTCCTCTCATCGCTCCTCCGACATTTGATGAGCCACTGCTGCCTACAAGGATCTGGGTGCATGACCATGGAGGAAAGAAGCTGGGTGTAGATAAGGCACAGAGGGAAATATTTCACATACTAGGAACTACAAAAGTGGATTTTTAGATTATACAATCTAAACTGCCATTTCATTTCAATAGGATACTCAGCAATCCTTTCTAGCAAATACGGCTAGAGGGCTCACTTTGGAAAGAAATATAGGTCATCTTAAGAGAATATCAAAAGTCTCCCAAAGATATGAGAGGAAGATTGGTGTTGCAATTAAACCACAAGACTGAGTTCGTGAGGTTTAACTCATTAATCTGTATAAGACATTCAGCCACTACAGTGATTAATGCCATAAAAGTATGTACACAA